CTCACGGCATTCCTAATGAACATGAATACAATGAAATTCAGCAAGGCTTTTTACCATAAACCTATATTTCATATGCAGTTCTAGCTCCTCACCTGGAGGGTTCTCATGTTATGCCACGTGAAGATAGCCTTGAATGCACTTGAAACAACATGAAGAGTTTTGGCTGATTCAGGGGTTCTGTTCACGTACATCATTTTCAAGTAATTTCCACCAAAACTCATAGCATACCTGCATGACAAGGGTTCATTCCAGGGGGAAGAGAAAAGAAATAAGTCAGAATGAGAGTTTTATTTATTTAAATTACAAGCAATAAGCATCTGCGACACAGAAGACGTTCCAAAACCAAGTTGCATGGCCACTTTACAGAACTAGCATTGCCAAGGGCATTGAAGGATTCATTACAACTGGAGCATCTACTATTCACAGAACTAGTGCTGGACTTTAAGATACGAATTTTTTGCACAATAAAAATGGTGTTTTGATAAAAGACAACAATTGGATGACATTTTCAGATTTTTCCTTTCCAGACCATAGTCTGCAAGATCCCAATCATCATATCAACATTTCACAAAAAAACAGAACAATAATCTTTTTTATGGAATTCATGAAAAAGGAAAAAGCCAGACTCGGCAATAAATGACAATGGCTCTATGAGAGTGAACTAATGAATAAACATAATTATTGCACATTACACAGGCAGATGACTGATGTCAAACTAGGGCTTGAGCAAATTGTAAAATTCCTCAGATGCAAGCGATAAACTTCAGAACAATTGATACTTCACTATTACCATGGATCTTACTACTTTGAAATGGCATGTATGAAGCACAATTTGACATCCCAAAAGAGTTAATACATTACAAATTTCAGTATGAGTGCATAGCGATTACTTAGATACTTACGACTTAGCAAGAAGAGGCAAGAGTCGGCGTTGATGACTTGGGTAATCAAGCAAAAGGACTTCAGGTCCATTAGGAGTAATAGAAAATGCCCGCCTGCTCAAGGCATACCTAATGGCAATTGCCAAACCAATCTGACAAGAGAAGAATGGCATCCATATTAATGGAAAATCAAGCAGCCAGTTATAAAGGCATGGTTTAAATACAATACACCATGAACGCAAAGATTTAATGAGTAGGATGAAAATTACTCTTTCTGATCAGATAATTAAATCCTTTGAATGCATGACTTAGAACTCATCTTCATTGTCATCTTTATTATTTAATTCACAACCTTAATCCAATTCCTTTGATGAGCAAATAGGCTTACTAAAAGCGCATCATCCGCTTTTCTCAAATTAATTATCTAAACAAAAGAATTATGTAGTTCCCAATATTGAACCGCGGAACTGTTTTGAAGTAGCGCGATCCAATATGGCTAGTAGAGCTGGTGCATAATCCTATACCTTAAAGAGGAATATGCATTAGCAGTAAACAATCACCCTTACAGAAAATTTTGTAGTCTTCAGTAAATGATTCTCTAAATATAATGAAAACTGCCATGATTCAATACCTTTGCAGAGTAAATTGCACTTGTAGCAATAGTTACACGACCAAATGTCAAAGGGGCCAAGAATGCTGCAAACCTCTGGAAAAAAACACATGACAATTGACTTGTTTGTTTGCTCGACAATTAAAGAACATGAAAGAAGCATGACATAATTACTTGGTCTTGGTCTTTTATTGAACTCAGATATTGACCATCTGGTGAAACATCAGCAACCGAATTCAACAAGTTCTCTCTGGGGATTCGCACATTATCAAACCTGAAAACAAGTCCCCAAAATCCTCATCGCATTCATCATGTGCTAATAAAACAGTAACTGACAAGAAAAGAAAAGGTGTGAATAATACCAGATTCGACCATTATCAACACCGTTCAAACCAATTTTGTGGCCACAATCAGCTATACGGATGTTTGGGCATATGTTTCCATTTACATCCCTGATCTGGGCTATAAGAGCGTGGACCCCTTCATTCACCCCATTTATGTTGAGCTGAGAAAAGACTATAGTGTGTGTTGCATGCTGAATACCAGTAAAGTTGTGTCAACATAGACAAAATTGCATATGGGAGAATGAAACAAAGAATGGCCTTAACAAAAAATTGCATTCAGGAAAAACCCTTACATTAGCAGCCCCTCCTATCCAATACTTCTGAGCTGATTCACATGGGGTATTGATTACAAACTCTCCCGTCTTCGAATCATAAGTTGTGACTGTTTCAATTCCTCGAACCTAAAAACATCAAACAAGGAAAGAGGTCAAATGTACACAATAGAGCACAAGTAACCACATAGAAACCGTAGTAATGACACACAAAAATCGGCAGCCTTCACATACATTACTTCCATGCCCCAACTCAGTCATAGAAAAGCAACCTTTGATTGCAAAAGTCTCAGTGTCTCTTAGCCACTTGTCATGGTGGCGTTTTGTGCCCATAAATTGGATAGCACCACCCCTGAAATTAATTAACAAAAAAGAAATATTCAAATTCAGCTGACAAAATTTTCCTCCTGAACCCTAAAACAAGCCTTGCTAAATTGAACAGATACAAAAATTCAACACTACGGTTTTTTTCCTTCCATACTCCCGCTGAATTGAATCCATTACAATACTTCAGAACTAACAGCCAGTTTTACCGTTTTTACTTCAATATTATATTTCAAAAGAAGTTTTGTTTCAAAGGATTTCCACAGAATACCAATACATTTCCTCCATTTTGAACTACCTGCATTCAGTCCAAGAAAGACATGTCCTAGAAAGCAATAAAGTAAACCTCAGTTTCTGTTTTCATGATTCAGGATACCTTTGCAATCAGTATTTTTATATTATGGTAGCTTCAAAGTATTTTTTGCTTAAAAATATATTAAAATAATTTTTTTATTTGTTTTTTATATTAATATATCAAAACAATTTAAAAACACCCGAAAAATTAACTTCAAACAAAGAAAAAAATAAAAAAAATTCAATTTTCTACTTCTTCATTCCAAGCAACCAAAAGAATGTCAAGAACAAAATTCTTTAGATTTAAAAGTAGAAATTTCACTCTTTACCTCAGATTTTCT